TAGAATAATAATACAATTAATGTTTTTCATTTCTAATAACAATTTTATTTAAAAATAAAACTTTTGTTTTTGTTGTTTTTTTTTGCTCTTTGTATCATTTTGAATTTACATATGGCTATTTTCGGCCTCGGCCTTGCCCACCCCTGACCTATGACCATATAATATATATATGTACATACATACATATGTATTGAATGTATTTGTCGTGCTCGAAAATATCTTGATCTTATTGTTCTAATACATAGCAGTGAAATGTTATTAACGGCATTTCCAATTTTCGGTGATGGATAGATCTGTAAGGGGAGCAGCTTGTATAAATAATGCCGTAATATTCGCCAAAGATATTACCACAGAATATAGAGACAAGTTTTCAACAACACTATGGGCTGGTTTCTCCAACTCAACTTCACTTAGTTTAGCCACTTTTTAGACTTAAGCCAAAAGTTAGCCTACGTTTTACACAGCTTATTCTTGACTAAGTCGAGAAAATTGGCTTAACTAAGTTAAGTTGAGTTGGAAAAACCAGCCCTATGCGATCTGATAGAGGCCGCTTCCGAAAGTGTGGACTTGGCCGATGCGACCTGAGTATCAATGCCAGTAAAAGGGAACGTACTCTTTTTTCCTAAGAAATAAAATTGGCATCGATAACTTCACCAGAACTGGACGGCGTCCGTCTAATGAAAAATTATCTAAATATTTAGGCGTAGTTTCGGACGGGATGCTTTGCTGGCGAGCATAGCGCGCGATTTGAGAAGGTTATAATCAGTGTTGCCGCGGAACATTTTTAGTGGTAGCTAAATTCCAGCTAAAAAAGGGCTAAAAAAGAGCTAAAAATCGACGTTGTGGCTAAAAATGGTTGCTAAATTTTTTTTACCTACATCTTATATATAAAAATAAGTGCACGTTTTTGGTGTGACCTCATAACTTGAGAACAGCTTCACCGAATTCAACCAAATTTATGTGGCACATTCGATTTATCATGCAGATGGTTTATGCGAAGTTTTCCCGAATTCGGAAGAGGGGGCGGGGCACCCTCCATACTAACTAAAATATAAAAATAAGTGAACGTTTTTGGTGTGACAATATAACTTAAGAACGGCTTCACCGAATTGAACCAAATTTATACGGCATATTCAGGCTATCATGCAGATGGTTTATGTGAAGTTTGCCCGAATTCGTAAAAGGGGGTGTGGCACCTTCCATACTAACTAAAATTTTTTTGTTGTATATCTCTTGAAATATTTGTGGTAGAGTACTGGATGTTGGTATAGAGGTATAACAAATAATTCCATACTCATGGATAAAAATGGGCGGTATTGGAAAAGAGGGTGTGGCACCTCACATTTTATATATGCAGATGGTTTTTGTTAAGTTTCCTCGAATTCGGAAAAGGGGGCGTGGCACCACCCGTACTAACAAAAATTTTCATCTGGTATATCTCTTGAAATGTTTGTGGTAGATTACTGGAATTGGTAGCTATACGTGGCCTGTTCAAGAGTTGGCATTCCAAATTGTTTATTTATTTATACCCAAGATGGAAAAACAAAAAATGGTGTATATCCAAATGTGTTGGATTAAGATTTAAAATAAAGAATAAAAAATTTTAAAATAAAACAAAAGATAAATTTCATATAGAAAAATTCCAGGACTTTTTATTCGTTTTTCAATATTTGGTGTAGAGAAGTAAGTATACACGCAAAAATTTTCTATAATTACTGGTATAGAAAAACAATGAACTCTGAAAAAATTAATATTTTATTCAACAAAAAAACTTTTTTTGTAACACATAAAGCATATTAAGGGCCGCCAACTTACCTATTTTACAGTATAGTTAAATCGTTAACGGATAAGATAACGGCCCTGAAACGTAAGGAACATACATAGACATATGTTTACTTGCCTTAAAGGAAAGGCGTTCGCTTTATGAGCGAAGAGTTAAATTCATGAAAATCATAAAAAAAATTTTAATGTCAATGATGAATAAGTTTTGAAAAGGGTTAAAAAAAGGGCTAGGGGCAATTTCAAATTTTTGTGGCCAAAAAAAGAATTTGGTATACTGGTAAGCAGTGCGCGCTTCCACTCCGCAGCACCTGGGTTCAAGCCCTGGTCAAAGCTACATCGCAAAAAAAAAAATGTTTTTTCTTAACAGCGGTCACCCCTCTGTAGGCAATGGCAACCTCCGAGTGTATTTCTGCTATGAAAAACAGCTTTTTGTGTGACAACATTAAGGCGCACACCAAAATCGGAGGAGAAGCTCGGCCAAACACTAACATATGTGTAAGCGCCAATCTATTATTATTATTATAATTATTATTATTATTATAATTATTATTATTATTATTATTATTATTATTATTATTATTATTATTAT